TTCGTATTGCCTGGTCAATATTTCTACCGAAAAGCGGTATAAGATTGCCCGACAGGCCGAGACATCTCATGTTTTGTTGAAAGAAGCCAAAGGCTGAATACTGGGAATTGTTCGCCGCCGAGACTCGGTGTGCAATCTTCCGCTCCAGGTTCGAATTAAGGCTCAGCAAGTAATGCTCCGCCCCAGGTAACAAAGATATTGCTCACCTGGGGCACACGAATCTAATATTTGTTAAGGCATATCAACATTTTCTATTGCGAAAACGTGTTGCAGCAAGTGTATCCAAAAGTGTGCACGAACAGTTTTTCGGGTGACATATCTCGGCATTGACGTACTTTGACATTGATGCTTCGTGTGGCAAAACCCACAGAGTGGTAGACGGCGTTGGTGTTAGATGAAGTGTGCCATCAGGAAAGATAACTTTTTACCAATTGAACCACACAACCACACAAAGCCGGTAACATAATTTTCCGGGGCTGTGGCCAATATGACAATCTCTTTCCCAGACCATACCAGACCATCCAGACTCAGACCAGACCATCTCAGACCAGACCAATTCACACAAAAATAGGGCGAAGGCCGGACATTCCCAGCTACCAAGGGCCTGAAAAATTATTTCGGTCCGAGTGTACTAAGTGTAGTATGCCAATGGATGTAGTGTAATGGACGTAAGTGTAGTATGCAAATTGGTGTACAACGGAGAAAAAGCTCATGCCATTCTTGCCACCAAACCTAGGTGATGACATCGGACAAGAAGACTATAAAAACTATTAAGTAAACGCTTTATTCAGTCTAGCCGTGGTTATGAGTTGCCATAGATAACCATAGTGGTCATCACCATCGAAAGTTTTCGGAAGACACACCATTTTTTCCTAAAACCTCAATTATCACGGTGCGCTACTCAGAAAGGTTACAAAGCTCCACAGCTAGCATGAAGCAGCTCTACAAATTGCATCGTGTCTCTGACCGAATAAGGGTTTGCGCGTAAATTGGTGCTTCGTTTTGGCGAGCGGTCAAACCTATTTTTCGTGATAAAAAGCAGTGAGGCGAAATGTTCGGTTATAGCACACGCATGAGCCAAGGCAAATTGATGCCCAAAACTTGGTAAAACATTTGGTCTCTGTAGTTTGTAATTTCGGAAAAAACGAAAACGAAGGGACAGAAAGCATAGCACTTATTTTCAGTTAAGTCCACCTTCATTCCTTCTCTTGGTACCTCACACGACGTGATCTTTATTAGAAAGGAAGCAACTTTACTGAAATTCACCATCATAAAGGAAATAGCTATACTTGAGGTCGTAGCATAAAATTCTGCAAACATCAGAGACATAATAACGAAAGCTATTCAACAAAAACACGCAAAAATCCCACATTTGCCCCTTCCCGAAGCTATCCCAGTCAAAATATCAGATAGTACGCGAATCCTTTCCCAGAGTTCGAACGCTTTGACCTCGAAAAGCTCTAGAAAACGTGCATCTCATCGTATACCAAGTTATATTTGCCATGTTCCACTGTGCCTTCCTGTTGAAAGTGCGACCGTAAGTGGGTTTGCAAGCATTTCAATAAATGCCAATGGAAACATTTTTGGAGCCGATCAACAAATGGGGGTGGGTGATAGAAACACTTGGGTAAGTCCAAGCATAACGCCTAAGGTGCCAACTTGCGAAAGCCAAAATTGCGGTGCGAAGCTACCCTATAGTTGTGATATTGTTCTTTGTCTCTTATCAGGATTCCAAGACTTCCATGATTTATGCTTGAAAACTTGCTCGTTTTACTGGGTTTAGGGTATGTTTTGGGTTCCTGGAGATCGTCGGCATGAGGACTGGCCTATCAAACATGAACAAATCCTTGCATTAGCTCCCATAAGAAGTTTGTTACAACCGTCCATTGTAGGGGAGTTTTGGACTTTTCATCGCTTTTCACTGCTCATGATATTTGGGTAATTCTGCTATAGTCAAACAGACCTTGCTCCAAAAGCAGATAGTCGCCCTTTCAGGCGAGCATTATTAGAGAGGTAATTACGTTGGTTCCAAACTCGAAATGCTCAACTAGAATCGGATGAGCAGGAGCGGACTATGGTGAGTCGTCAGGGCTAACAAAATATCGCATTTTACATTGAAATAGCCGATTACATCGATTGCTCAGCATTTTACCATGGAGAGTTTCACCACCATGTACCTATACGCCATTTCATATTTGCGGAACTATACGATTTGGTCCTATGCGACCAAATACACAAACGTAAAATGACGAATTGAGGACATGGCCACAAAACAAATGAGCTTCAGAGTAAAACTTATCGGTAATTGTGATTTGTAGGCGTGAAGAAAAATAACCAGTGTTGCTCCTGTCTATTTCGTTTTCTTTGCATTGCAAACTTACGTGCCTGTGCAATGCAGTGGTACCGAAGTAGATGGAAGCCAAATAAATGCTAGCGTAAAACGAGCTAGTGAGGCTGAAGCTTGGGTAATTTTAACTCCGCGCAGCGAAATATGTCAATCGTAGTAGCAGTGCTCGGGGAGGATATTACTCTTTATTTTCTGCTGCAACAGCGAGGTGTGACGTCGGCCAAGCACGCTGCGTCACCATGTTTTTCGGTTACCGCGAAGCAGTTGTTGCGGCTTCGAAGACAGCAAGCAGAAACTGACCATCGATGAGAATGCTATACATTTCACTACAGATAACCACCACATGCATGTCATTACAGTACGATTCCTACGTTGTGCGCCAGTGCAGTGGATTTAAATAAACTTCAACCTTAATTTCGCCCCCTATTTTTTAGCACCACCTAGATGACAGTGCTGCGCGGGTTCGGAGTTTCATGATTGGACCTTTCAGGTTTTGATGTTTTGAGTTTCGATGTTTTTCGGGTTTCGACTTCTCGGGTTTCAATGTGCAGGAATATGCAATTTTCTGATCTTGCCGCTTTGCTCATCAACAGTCAATGTCATACATTTACTGTGCAACGCCCTGCCCATGAATATTGATCTGTTAAGGACGTACTTGGCTGATAATTTTCCAACACCATACGAAAATAATGCATCATGATCTCGTGAAAATTATTGCTAGTACCTCCAGCGGAGGTAGATTTTAATTTGTGCACCCAACGTCAGACAACTTTGCCATGGAAAATCAGCCAGCTGTGATGCTCTGGACGGCACCTGTTCCAGACCAGCTTCATTCTTCGTATATGCATGCGAAGTGTATACGCCATGTTATGCGGACGTAGCTTGCTTCAAATGTTTGATGATAAATGTTACGCAGAATGAGCCAACATTTCCAGCTCTGCAATGCAATAAGGAAACCGAAAACGAATTTGCCCTTGTCGTTGAACCCGAGCGGCACAGCATAAGTAAGTTACGAGTTGCTTGGAAACTAAAAGTCTTTGCTGCTGCGCAATTGAACGCATATGTTTTCCTCCTAGTTCTTGTTGTTTCCGTGGATGTTGATCGGCCTGTAGACGTAATAAGATCCTGTTTTTCTTTGCCCAGTCTCCGTTCGTCATTTCAGCCCCAACCTCTTTTCCCTCCCTCTCTCCCTCCATCCCTCCCTCTGTCCCTCTTCCTCGTTCTCCTCCTCCCGTACCTGATGGACATCAATATATCCGGTAAATCTCGCACCTCTCAGCGCTTTCTCTCCCTCCCGCTCAGCCCAAGTCAACCCAACTTAAGAAAACAGAATGACGACAAAGGTCAATAGATATCGACCTGCAGCATATTTATCGAGCTGCAGAGATTATTACTGAATGTAGAGATTGCAGCTGGATAACGTCGGTACGTACACAGGCTACCACCAGTGTAGTGACGCAGGAATGAGGCATTGCAGCTATATAACGTGGGTACGCGCACAGACTACCACCAGTGTAATGACGCAGTAATGAGGCATTGCAGGCTGGATAACGTGGGTACGCGCACAGACTACCACCAGTGTAAGGACGCAGCAATGGGGCATTGCAGCTGGATAACGTGGGTACGTACACAGACTACCACCAGTGTAAGGGACGCAGGAATGGGGCATTGCAGCTGGATAACGTGGGTACGTACACAGACTACCACCAGTGTAATGACGCAGCAATGGGGCATTGCAGCTGGATAATGTGGGTACGTACACAGACTACCACCAGTGTAATGACGCAGCAATGGGGCATTGCAGCTGGATAACGTGGGTACGTACACAGACTATCACCAGTGTAATGACGCAGCAATGGGGCATTGCAGCTGGATAACGTGGGTACGTACACAGACTACCACCAGTGTAATGACGCAGCAATGGGGCATTGCAGCTGGATAACGTGGGTACGCGCACAGACTACCACCAGTGTAATGACGCAGCAATGGGGCATTGCAGCTGGATAACGTGGGTACGCGCACAGACTACCACCAGTGTAATGACGCAGCAATGGGGCATTGCAGCTGGATAACGTGGGTACGTACACAGACTACCGCCAGTGTAATGACGCAGCAATGGAGCTGGCAGGGAGTCAAGCGGGCGGTTCTCCCAGCCTGTCACAAGTTAAAAAAATCAGTGTTTGCAGCCCATCGGTATAAGCAGTTATACACGTCTAACCTCACATGTAAATATTACAAAAAAATATTAGTTACAAACGTTTTGTACCAGGAATTACAAACACCACACCGATCAATTGCAAACACCACAACGATCAATTGCAAACACCGCAACGATCAATTACAAACACTACAACGATCAATTACAAACATCACAACGACTCAATTCTGGACTGCATCCTTAGCTAGCCCACCTCAGCATGAAACGTGGGATGGACTCAAGAGTACAAGACCGACACCTTGCGGTGCAGTGACACGTTACCTGCACGTTGCGGTGCAGTGACACATTACCTGCACGTTGCGGTGCAGTGACACATTACCTGCACGTTGCGGTGCAGTGACACATCACCTGCATGTTGCGGTGCAGTGACACACTACCTGCACGTTGCGGTGCAGTGACACATTACCTGCACGTTGCGGTGCAGTGACACATTACCTGCACGTTGCCGTCAGTCAATTTGAAGAAATCAATCGTTCCAGCGGTGCCGGCAACTGTGGGTGTCGGATTCGAACCCAGTTGCTCGGAGTTTTTGCTGCTCAGAAACTTTGCCGAAGACGCTTTCAGGGTGGAGTTGGTGGCGCCCTCCGACCTGCCCTGGCCCTTCATCACCATGTACACCTGTTGCAAGGGGATAAAGCTAGCTGACACCATTCCTAATACTTAGTAGTGTCACCCAGAGAAGAAAACGGTCACAAAGTACATGATTTCAACTAATCGACAGGGTCACGGAGGGTCGAGTTCGTGATAAACAGGAGGACGATATTCAAAATATCATTTTGTATTGTGAGTTAGGGCCAAAAGCAGGAAGTAAATTTCACTGTTTTCTCAGCGGCATCATCGCTGGCCGTCTTCATGGGTGAGATGTCTGAAGCGTTTTGGGCCCCATGGTAACATTTTTCGTGATGCGTTTGGTATATTTCTTCTATCTGCCGGTACATATCATTGATATTCAGGGAACAGAAGTAAACACACCTGCGGACTTCAGAATGTCATGTTTTCCTAACGGCAGACCACAATTTCCCTGGACTCCTCGCTCAAATCATTGTTCAAGCCTGATGTGTACCTGGCACTGCGCCGGTGGCTATGCACTAAGACCGCTTGCAACATTTCCGCATCATACGTGGTATACATACACTCGTTCTAAACTTCGGTGCAAAGCATCATGCATTCTCTGCAGATTCGTGAAACTGTTACCTTGAATGCCTCCAAATGGCCCCCCGTCCCCGTCCCCCCACCGTAGCCAGTGCTCAGCGCTTTCCAACTCCTGTGGCCTTCTGAGAGCGATGACAATCAACAAAAAACATGTTATTGCCATCTCGAATATTTATGGTGATTGCCTTCACGCCCTCTGGTCCGCAATGTAGAGCGTGCTCACACACCTACGCCTGACAGGCACTCACGTCAGCAGCATGATCGCATTTCCAACTGGAGACCTTAATACACTCAGCATACATATCATTAATATACAACACGCTACGCAAACCCCATGATGCGCATGCCAAATATATGTCAGAACTGCAAAGAGGACCACGACGTCGCAATGAACCAAAGACACTCCAAATAGCCGAACACCGGATGTTCCATGAATGCTTGCATTGACAGCTTCATGAGTGATTGCATCATATAAAGTGGCACAATGGTACGATGATCCTGCCTGAATCAGCCTATTGATCGAAGCTAATGCTCGTAACAGGATTTATGGTGCAGACCTAAGGTCCATACAGGACTACACTCGCATAGCCGTGTGTGCATGCGAACAATAATCTCATCTTTTACAGGTGCACTGCCTAGGGCCTCACCAAGTCGTGAAGTATGCATATCAGGTCTGTCCGCAACGTGTCTCTCGCCCCTGTACTGCTTTCTTATTCCTATAATCTGGTGTAGCTATGCGTGACGGGAAAGTCATTAACAAACTACGGAAGTGGTGCGCGTAGCATGACATGATGTAACACCTTGTCGCACTCCAGGCGAGTGAAGCCCATTACTCGGAAGAAAATCGTGGATGCCCTTAAAATGAACGCAGTTGTCTCTCTTGGCGCCTGGTCCTGCCTCGCTCTTCCATTGTTCACGAGTAAATGGGATTCGAATATGCGTTTAGCTAATGCCTAGTTCCCCTATGGAACATACAGTTGCCCATTTAATCATTCTGAATGCCTGGAAGTGGACTCATTGATGCCCTGGAAAATTAAACAAATGACAGACAGTGCGCATGCTGCTATAGCTCCCAAAACGAGAGCATACTCACCACAAAAAAATGTGCGAAGCGACCACCCATTCTAATCTATGTCGAACTGCACCATGCTATCGGACCGGTAGGACAGCCGCCAGTTCTGTAATTGCTGCGGTCGCGATCACGACCTGCAAGTAGAACACAGGGCTGGGATAACGGATGAAGGGAATACGGGAGAGGAGGACTTCTGTTGCCGGTCTGTCTGCAGGCTCGTTGGGCGCTCACCTTGCTTCCAAAGATGAGCACGAGTAGCACAGTGATTGTCAGCTGATTGTGCAGGAAGAAGATGATGTACAGCAGGTCCGGATTAGCTGGCGACTTAAGAAACAACCTGAAACGGCAGCGTCAGTCAGACACGGGCTGCGACGGGCGGAGACAGACGAACGCATCAGCGAACGTAAACGCAAAGCAGCGAGAACAACAGAAACACCATAGGTAGCAACCTTAAGTTTGCAGGCAGGTGCTGGAGAGTGCTAGAACAGTCCTCACTTTCCCTCCCCTGTTTTTTTACGCGCTCAGTAGCTTTCTCTGTCACTGGTCGATAGCGAGGTAGCGCGAACAACCGCTCGGGCCGGACGCATCCCCTGTCATGCAGCACGCCCTTGAAAATCTATTCGCACATCAGCGGGTGTACTGATGTGCAATCATCTCTGAAATGTGATCTTTGAGCAAAAAGAAGACGGTGACGTAAATCCATCACATAATCCACATATTTGCTCTATCTATAACATCATGCTGCAGACCGAGCATCAGTCATGATGGCAGTGTGAGGCGTGACTGAGGCAGCCGCTGTCGGGACACCCTTGCCGAGGGCGGCGCGAAATGTCAGCTGCTGACTGCCGGGAAGTCGCTAACGTCAGCCTGAGCCGTCATCAAGACGCACCGCCCGGAGCGCCGCCGGCCGCCGCTGCACGGCCGTGTCAGCGATAGTAGCACGGCGCCGCCACCGCCACGGCCGGCGGTGCGACCGGCCGTGAAATAGGAGCAGCCGGGCGCCGCCAGGCGACGCGACGGCGAGATCATTCGGGGCCGGTGGAGGGGCCATTTCGCCGGCGACGGCGCCCGTCTGCCAGCAGGGCCCGCTCGGCTCGCCCGTCTCTGGACGTCTCGCCCGTTCCACCTGACGGGAGCGGGCGGCGTGACAGCCGTGAGACCCGGCGCCGGCTGATGACCGCCGGCCAGGACTTCGATCTCAGGTGGAACCTCTCGCCGCTCGCGCCAGCGCAGAGCGACACCCACGTCGCCGCCGGCGCCGCCGGAGGTGCGGCCCATCGATGCTCACGGTCACGTGGGCGGAAGTCGCGGGTCTGATTGGTTCTGGGACGGTACACGGCTGTGGATGAGATGAAGGCGCTGTTTACCTTCAGTTTCCGTCCCCCAAGAATGTTTTCCTGGGATCTGGGAGTTGGTTGTTGGCCGGGCACGCCGATGGCGGGCCGCACCAGTCGCGGGAGGCGGCAGAGTCACCGTCCGTCCAGGTGCGTCACTCTCCAATGTCGTTAGCCTTCAGCACTTGTTGAGTTCACTGAACGCCTCCCGAGAACGCATGTTGTCAAGATGAGCCAGTATCGATTGGTGCAGCCCCTGAGCCGCCGCACGCGCGGCACGGGACCACTTGGAGACCATCGGCGCTGGACCACAACGGATAATTGCACGGTGCGGCGTCTACAGCTCAGTGTGCCACAGCCGACATCGCTAGTCCAGTCCACTTCCGTAACGCTTTGAAAGCAGGCATTCGCATGGGTGTTGATGATAGCCAAGTAACAAAAAAACTTTTTTTCTCGCTTTGAAGCTGCCTTTATCATTGGTCTTCGACATGTCAGTCGTAATCACCGATCCGCGCCTTCCTAGACACACGCTTTCTAAGTAAGAAGTATGCAACCAACGCAGGCATTGGGAGTCACAAGGGACCACAACTGAAGAGGTAAAGTCATCCTGTTTGACACCACAGAGGCAGGCAAACACGGACCCATAGTTTCAGTTTGTATCCTCAAGCAGTTGTTATGCAAAAGCTTTAATACGACCGACGAAACATATTTTATCCCATTTAAGACAATCCGGGCGACATCAGGAATGAGGTCACGGGCCGCATGTCGATTAGATCGATTATCGACGGGCGTTTGTGAACGAGACGAGCGAGGGAGAACTAATTTTTAATGCCGTTTTCATTTCTCCCATCATTCAGTCCCAGGAGGGTCTTCATAACTCCAGACATGCTCCTAACATACCTTTCGTTCCTTTATTTAACGCTTCACACGCAGCGTGGAGCCAGGCAGCTTTTAAGGCCAATTTTTTCATACGCCTCACCCTGCGGCTAAATTTGATAAGCATTTAATGAACAGCTGGTGGGTCCCAGCCTCCCATCTCGGTTATCCGCTTCAGCACGTTATCGTAAACTGCACACCCTGAGCCTGGCAAAACAAAAACACCAAACAAGCGACCAGCAAGTTCACTATTCTCCTCGCGAGTCCCAAAGCCTCCACGCATCATGCGTCCGGCTGCCGCGGGAAGGCTCCATTAAGGCGACGCCGCGCGCCGTTACGGCCGCCGCCGGCAGGTACTCTGCCATTATGGCCGCCGCCGGCACGTACTCTGCCGTTATGGCCGCCGCCGGCAGGTACTCTGCCGCCGTCCGCCCGCCCTGTGACAAGTTGACGCCATTTGTCCGTGCCGGGACGCGGCAGCCGCGTCATCGCTCTTCAACGTCACCGTCGCCCTCTGCGGCGGCACTTTGAGCAGGTCGAGATGAATGGTCGCCTTTGGCGGGTCGGCGCCGGGATGGGTCGCGCGTCGCCGCGGTGTCTGCATGGGTGGAGGCGTCCGTCGTCACTTTCGACCCGTGGTTAGAGATAGCGCGCCCTGACAGCGCAGTCGTGGTCACAGTCTGATGGCCTCAGCATCTCCTCGGATGACCTCGGGAGGTGCTATGAATCTTCACCACGACCTCATGATTACGGAAGGTGTGGTCTGAGCGATCACTGTGATCTATGAAGTAATGCGGGCTGCAGAAGGTGGTCTCCAGACCATGGAAGCGCAGCCTCCAAATGATAATTTTGACCAACGCAGCGATACGGGTCGGAGGAGGATGGTCTCCAGACCACGGAGACGCGGTCTCCTGAACGACCAGCGTTCTCCGCCAGCTGTAGACTCTGGAGTGATCTGCGCGATCTCCAGACCATGGCTGATCTGCTCCGTTGGGTGGAAGGGCGAGAGGACGCACTCCGGTCGTAGCTGTCTGCCAACCTCGGCAGATGTAGCTCTCAGATCATCATGCCAAAGATCGAGGCCGACAAATGTCTGGGGACGAACAAGGCGAAAGCTGCTGCATGCACCCGCTTATCAGCAGTGACTGACAGCTTTAACTGTCTCCTGACCATCCATATGAATCTCCAGCAGAACGCTGTTCATCTTGGCGCCGGCCAGTCAGATTTTATATCCTGGCTGCGAGGCGAAAGGAGGCTTAATCAGCTCCTTTTTCTGGCCTGGTGGCCTCCAAGAACCTGACATTCCCGACCGGTGGTCAACAGCTGGGTTTGCCTGGCAGACAAAGGTTACACCTTTCTCGCGGTTTCGCGTGACCCGCCGCGTTCCGAGCACTCGCCCGGCTCCGTTGGTAAGCGCATCTATTATCTTCACCTTGCTTGCTATGCATGACGTAATGTCTGCCTCTCTAGTGGCCAGAAATAGCTTTGTCGATGGTCCTTTCCCGCGGAGAGGTGGCGGCATGCAGCCACGTAGTCATAGCTATGAGCAGTAACTCGCCCGCTGCCCTCGTGCCGGCTGGTTGTTGATCAAAAGGTTCAAAGCTTAAGTGCGTAATTTCAGCTGTCATCATCGGGCTTAGTCACTCACAGTTGATCTGGATTAATTGGTTTCTAATTATATTCACTGCCAGTGAAAGGTGGTAACGTTACAGCTAGTGATCAAATAATGATGTGAATGAATGGAGGTACATGGTTCTAATGAAAGGTGGCTAACGTTACAGCTAGTGACCAAATAATGATGTGAATGAATGGAGGTAAACGGTTCTAAATGGAGGTAAATGATTCTAAAGAAAGGCTAACCCGAGACTCGCTTGGGGAGAGGTGTTGGGGGGGGGGGGGGGGGGTTAAAAGTGGCCCGCCCTCCGTGTGTTGAGAATAACTCTGGAGGAGAGCAAGGTCGAGTCATCATATTGTAGTAGCTGGCAGATGACCAATTTGACGCATTCTGAAGGCTGTCAGTTGTCGACAATTGTCAACAAATGTCGATGATGTCGAAAATTGGCAACAACTGTCAATGTTGTCGACAAATGGCAACAAACGTCGATGCCAGGACAGATCACTGAACCGTGGCGTCATTGGTAACGGGTTGTTCAGCAATTTTGGTCTCATTATGCAATAATTCGCTTTTTTCTGTTTTGGATTTACTTTACGTCATCCATCAAATCGTTTCACTTCCCACCAGTCATGGTCATTCACACTACACCAGGTCACACAATATTAGGTCACACACTACCAGATCACACTAGGTCACCAGCAAAAGTCATGTGAGGTGCATTCATAACTGTCGAGGTACCACAGACGCATCATTAATACATACTTTGGTATAACAGACGCATCTTGAAACCAATGACTCCTGTTCGTCATGAGAACATGAAAACACAAATATTATATCCAATTAGGTAAAATGACTGACCTGAGATGAGTCTGACCTGACCCTGACCCTTGACCTTTGTTTACGTCATGATATGATTTTGAGCATCCATTTGTACTTGGTGCTGGCCACACATGTTTGTGGCCGTTGTTGCGGGTGCTTAAAGGTCTCGAATGCCTTCCATGTTGTGTTCTGCGGCATTACGAGGATTTCCAAGGTGTTTCGCGTGACCTGTAGCGTTATCAGTCACGTGACATTTGCGATGAATTAGTGAGATTGATCGGACATCGGACAGAATTAGGCCGTTAGCCGGCTAGACCACCGTTTTGATTTTTCATCCGATGAAGCCCATGCACTTGATTAACAGCAATTTGGGCAGACATTTTGCTTGATGGTTTGCTGAATTCTTTCTTGTCGCTGCTCGTAAAAACGTTGTTTTTTCCTATGTTCAATGCCTAATCAAGCACTGGGAACAAGCTAGATATTGGCAGCAGTGGTCCCAATGCTGTGGGATTCGAAGCACTTTAGTTTATAGCATTTGTAATTTTCCCTTGCTCTTCAATGGTCTCATCTCAATCGCTTAATTTTTTTGTTGGAAAATGCACTTACCTTTGCCAAAATGTTGTGCATTGTTGAAAGTGATCATGCTGTTCAGAGTATTCCCAGTTTACAAAATTGGTTAAAGTCACCATTATTTACGCCGATGCATGCAGCGCTTCATAAGTCAGCAAAATGAAGTAAATTGCGTTGTCTGCAAGATCAAAGCTACCTCGTCCAAAAATGTTTCTCGCAGTGTAAAATTACCAGGAACTATTGTATACCGAGCAGTGAAAAGGTTTGCAAATCACTGACATTGCAAGGGGACACACATATATGGCCACAGCTGCATGGAGGAATATTTAGATGAAGGAAGTGTGAGCAAGTGACATTGTCGTCAGTGACGATTTAATTTTTAAAACAAAAATTGGCTAGTGAGAAAACAGCCAGATACGCTTTGCAAACATATCCTGCCGACACAAACACTAACTGCACACATATATTAATCAGACCAGCAAATCCCTCCATCACACCGAGATGGCATGTAAAGCCATTGGCACGCAGTAATACATTTCACTTGTTTGAAGCGCCTGAGCCACTCACGTATATCACATATAAGTAATTTGGCACTTGTACAGCCCATGACAATATCAGAATGCAGTACTTCAACATTCTGTGCTGATTTTTGGATTTAATATTTGCAAATATGTGCAGGCCCGCTCCAAAATGCAGTCCCGGCTGAGGGGCCATTGTAACTCAGGTAGGAAGTAGTACCTTAGGGTATTGTTTTCCAAAAATGTATGTTTATCGCAAGATATTTGTTCATTGCTGTTAAAAAGCATCGATGCAAATCACTACGATGTGTCTTAAATTTGACATTTCCCCTCAGGCCACGAACTTGTGAAGTGTTCCGTGTCCCAGTGCACAGTGAGCCAAACTTGCGCCCTTAAAAAAAAGAAGAAAGGAGGAGAAAAAGACTGGTTTGACGCCGTCAGCTTCTTTACTGTAATAGTGGGCAGTGTGACATTTCTTTCTATGCCTGCCTGTTTATTTGCGGCCCTGAGACTACGCAGCTGGCAGCAGCTTTTAGACAGGCAGCCCTTGTTTAGTGGATCGTACAATATGCACTTGTTTTCTCAATCAATACGTCTTGACAGCTGTGAAAGTTAATATTTTTTATCTAAATCTTTTTGGATGTTGGGACATCCGCAAACGCAACCCACCTGTCGTGAACATGTCTGTCGTGCCCAGCCCAAACGACCCCTTCTCGCCATCGGCTCCCACAGACATAATACACCCTTAGGGTGTATTATATTTATATTAATACACCCTTAGGGTGTATTATATTTTGGTACGCATGTACTGCCTGACTTTGAACGCGAGCCATGGGGTGGCAAACATACATATAGGACCAGGACTCTGCAGCCGCCCCCTCCCCCACCCAAGACCTTTGCTGTCTACGTCATGGAATAGACACCATGAGTATTTTTGGATAAGGGTAAAGTCAGTTAGGTCCAATTGCTGTGACGCCCACGCTGCCAAAACCGCACTAAAAAGGAGGGCCTTGAGACATCCCAACTCTGCTCTCAAGCATTAAAGGGCTCCCGAACTAGACAAGGGCCTTAGTGACCTACACAACGAGCCCGTTGGTCATATTTACCCCCATGCGACGCAAAATCCTTAGGACATAGCGAGGATGGCGGTACGTGGAACGGTGCGACAGTATGATGATGGTACGAGTCGGCGCAGAAGCAGCAGCTTGACTTACAAAACACTCGGCTCTTGGGAATCCTGGACCTGAAATGTAGGTGGCTGAAACACGACTGTCGCTTCTAAATTTCTGCACTAAGCTTCCAGATATCTAGACCTGCGAAGGCTGGAAAAATCATCTCTTTTTGCTATGTTTCGGCACCAACGAGACACAACATTTATTAACTGGAAACGTCGTTTCTAAGCTTAAGGGTAACTCAGATCCATCCATGTGCGTCCCCTTCAAGCATTTTGCGGTTGCTGGGATTCAAAGGATCGCTCTTGCCTGCATCACACTCATCTGATGGCACACTCATCCAATGAAAATACTGACGGCACACTCATCCAATGGAAACACTGACGGCACACTCATCCAATGGAGACACTGACGGCACACCCATCCAACGAAAAGCTGACCTACCACGGTTAAGCCTGCGATGGCCCCACAAGACCACGGCACACGCAAGTGACAAAGCCACCAGTTAGGCGATTGGGAAGTGTAGCTGCATTTCCCCTTCTGCAAGAGCCTGTACGCCATCATGACGGAACAACACTTACGTGGAAATGTTGAGCAGGATGGTGAGTAAGAACTCGTTGTAAATGGTGAGAGATATGAACTTGCTTTCGTTGAACTCCGACGGTGCTTTCCTGACCACGATGCAGAGTCGTATTCCCCAGACGAAGGAACAGAAGCTCGGCTGGAACAATGACATCAGCTGATGACGGTAGCCTATCAGCAGCAGGTAACACGGATCAACTGGCGAAAACATCCTTCGGCAATTCACAGAGAGAGACAGACGAATGATTGAAAATAGCCTGGATGGAACCAGAGGTGTTGAATGCTGTGAATAAGTGCGAGACGGAGCCGAAGTTCCGACAGGTTGAGCTTCCAAAAGGTGTTTTCAAATGATTTAGTCGACCTTATTTTGACGACCGACAAGTCTCATTGCTAAGACTTTGACGCTCTGAGTTCAGCTCATTGGGAATTAGGTGGGAACTCAGCGCGTCACAAACCGGTTAGCGACCTCGACTTGACTAGAAAACAGAGGCGAAGCTGACGAACTGTTCGCCCACCGTTCGTCGCCATGTGTCAGACCCTGGGAACGGCCTCCAGCTCCAAGGCGATCCTGCGACTCGCCACCCGCAGACATTGTCTAAAGAGCACCAGCCTGGCGACGCTAGCCCTGAATGCACCGGACGGGCTGCCACGTGAAAAAGAGCAAAGAGCTTCTCTTGAGTGTGCTGCAGGAATGGCCGGTGCCCAATGGCCTGTGGCGAGTCAAGGGCACTAAAGAGGGTAGTTTGGTACTGCTTCTGACGTTTGCTTTCGTTATCAATGACCCGACTCTCCCACCAAATTACAGCGCTTCAGATTTGCTGACCAGGTCGATCAACATCGAAGTATTGACCACTCTCACGACGCAGCATTCTAAGGGAGACCGTCACCCACTTGGAAAATCAAGATGTCTCAACGTTTTGATTGGGTGAATTCTGGGATCAGCGTTCACGCTAGGCGGTGCTTGTTGCTTGGACCCAGACTACAGCGTCCCGTCGTGAAATTTGCGGTCAACAACAGAACTTTGCGGCAAAAACCTGAACGTCGTAATGCTCGGCACGGTCCGCCCTGCCCTCTGACATCACCTGACATTCAACAGTTAAATGATTGGTCTATGTCCCAGACCTAGAACTAAGTCTAACTGAACTCTAAACACTAGCCAGCGACGATGTCTCTGGGTAGTCCGCTTTCATTCCCGGAAAAGATAAGTGCTTCTGCGTATATGGGCGTAAACTAATCCACAGACAAGGGCTTTACGAGCCCAGCCTTGCCTTCGAAAGAGCTCTCGGACAGCGCCCACAGTCCACCTTATTCGTCATAAAAATCACAGGCGGTACAAGAGCCTCCACACAATTACCATCCAAGGCGTTCGCACAAAGGGGTTTTCGGGCCTTACAGCTACAGCGCGCCGGCTTATTGGAATGTTTGAAACATTCCGTGGAAATAGCAAAGGGACCTGCGCATAACAATTTGGAACCTTCCCAGCACCGTTGGGTGCCACTGTGGACACTCCTCACTGCCACGAGCCAGCATGCAAGCAAATCGAGTCACTCTCCAAGTGGCCAGGTCCCACCAGTCGGTATGGTACGCTTTCTGGTGGAGAAGGCGTGGTCCCACCAGTCGATGAGGTACACTTACTGGCGGAGAAGGCGTGGTCCCACCAGTCGGTGTGGCAGAGTCGTGTCTTCAGGCCGTCGGCGCTGAGCGCCATCACCACCGACGGCGGCGCCACCAGCGAGCGCACGCCCAGCAGGGCCGTGAAGCCTGCCACCAGCACGCCCAGCCGCTTCAGCAGGTCCAGGTCGGTGATCTTCACCGCTTTGGCCGAGCGCACGCGGAAGATGACCGAAATCCTGCCGACGAGATTTCGGTCATCCTGAGCGACATTGCGCAGGCCCATTGTCACTGCCCTCCCCGAAATTCTCAGACATGTGGCCAGTGTCGACAGGTACCTGTGGATTCCCGATGATGTCATGACAGGCAAATGAGCACCTGAACGCTTGATTAAAAAAGGTAATGTCCCGAGCCAGATCGGAAACGCCGTGAGACATGTATTCCCTTGGCTGATACCACTTGGGTGAGACACCTAGGCAATCTGTCAACACGTAAGTTTCCAACTGTGTCTTCATGGTCGTTTACTGGTGTTTACTTGGATGGGACGGCATTTTGTTTGCTGCATGATCTGCATTGGCGGCGAGAGAACACGTTAGATCTGCAGAGAGGTTAGGTTAGATCTCCAGCTCTCCGCCTATGAGCGATGAGCGTGCAGAGATCGACGGAAAATAGTGTGCACACACCATTTATTTTAATTACCGGGCTGTTAGGCCATTAAATGTAGCATTTGCCTTGCCTTTAACTTAAACATTTTGCAGCACAAATTTCTATCTAAACGTTTCATTATTAGATGAAGGAGAGAGAGAGAGAGAGAGAGAGAGAGAGAGAGGAGAGAGAGAGAGAGAGAAGAGAGAGAGAGAGAGAGAGAGAGAGAGAGAGAGAGAGAGAGAGAGAGAGAGAGAGAGAGAGAGAGAGAGAGAGAGATAGAGAGAGAGAGAGAGAGAGAGAGAGAGAGAGAGAGAGAGAGAGAGAGAGAGAGAGAGAGAGAGAGAGAGAGAGAGAGAGAGAGAGAGAGAGAGAGAGAGAGAGAGAGAGAGAGAGAGAGAGAGAGAGAGAGAGAGAGAGAGAGAGAGAGAGAAGATTATAAAAGATACACCCTGTCTACTTTTGGGAATCAGCTTGACCTGAAACTGTACCTACATGAGCGTGCCCTGAATATAGTTTTCTGGATAATCCCAAGGCCCTATAACAACAGGCTGGGCGGCAGAGTAATACCAGAATATACTATATTTCAAATTGGTAACGGTGCGGCGATCTCATATGCTGCTTTTTATCCATGATTTTTGCAATATTTCCACATAAATAAAAGGTGGTAAACACATAATATCTGGCTAGGAATTATAATCTGTTGCAGGAAATATGTAGATAATCGTCGGCGATAGCTTAAAATTTTGCCTAAATCTGGCAAGGTTACAATTATGGTGTTCCGGCGACATTTCAAAACTGCACTGCTTCTGCTGGCAACATGCAGGGCAGCACAGACATTTTCCGCCGTTCATTGCCCGGCAATCCTGGTGAATATTTTCGTAAGAGTAACTACAATGACACTATCCTCACGTTTATGTCATCATCTTCCCTAAATTGCGTCCTGAAGTAGCCTACAAATAAACGAAACCTCTAATTTTTGGACCCTGCACCGGTGTTACATTCAAATTTGTCATGGAAGGTCCATGTGTGTTTCCATTCAGGTATATCTGTTTATAGACATTGTAATCGGAACGCATATGTGCAATTTCATGCCGATAATAGAATTTCAAGCATAATGAGGTGAAACGTACCATGAGCTTCCAGCATCAAGCCATGCACTGGCTGTCTTCAGGTTATCACCTACCATGTTTTGATGTTTAAAATACAATCATTGGCATGCAGTCAATTGTAATGTTTCCTACTTTTTATGACAATGATAGTAATGTTAACATATCATTTTGAATGCTGCATCAGTGGTAAGTGGTCAAGAATGCCAAATGAGTTGGGGCCTTCAGTTCGTGCTCACCTCAACTTACTCCACTCAGCGCCAGCGAACTGAGCAGTATGGAAATGATGTAACCCACCCCTCAAAGAACAGCAACGAATAGGGTTGTTTCTTCCCAGATTTGGCTCACTTTTTCTGAAAGTCAGGCTTTAGGCCAAATATTTTGGGGGACTGGAGCCCCTGACTGAAAAGGAAACTGTACTCCTGCCAAATGCCAGTCAGTGTTAGGCATGTCTTTATAATTACTAATGTCAAGTGTGACCCAGCACACGCATGATGAAGATGCTCTTATGCTTCTAGCACTGGTACAATTACAGAAATATGTCTAACTCATGCCATTTGGGGCACAGGCGAAGGTTGGCACAGGTTGTCTTTTACACAGGCAACCCGTTGTGCTGTTGAACAATAACTAGCTGCAGCTATTAGCACTTCATGATGCCTGGATAGATTACCCTGTCCCGAAATCCTGCTACGTTCTGTGGAGCCAGTTGGCATGGCATGCCCACTAGAACCGTAAGTTCTTTCTCATGTTTATACCTTGAATGATGATATCCGGCCTTGCACACTCAAATCTCATGTCTGTCTCGGCCTGCCAGCAGATACCGAAGAAATTGCACAAAATGCTTCAGTTCGACGCTTGAGGTTTTGCCTCTAAATGTGCAACTAACCATGTTTGACACATCAAACCAACTTTGTTTGGCCTCACTGTGCCAGGATCATCTACGTCACAAGTGACCTACAAGTTTGCAATATATTCAGGCCCAATTTGTATTATTTCTTGGCTTTTAAAGGTCAGGGGCGTGGGAGGGGGGGGGGGGGGGTAAGAAGGTTACAGGATGGGCTGGTCTTCAACCTCTCTGAAAATGTTATGTTTTCTCTATGGACGTTGACCGGGCATGAATCATCAAAACTTTATTGGAGAATACATGTTGTCCCTGCTCGCAATGTAAGCATGTAGCACGCCAATTTCTTCCTACAATGACTTGCGGAAGCCCGGGTGTCGTTTTTTACCTGCATTTAAATCTGCACGGGTGTAACCTCAACATTACGCATTTGGGACCATAACTGCACCGGCCCAAAATTGCAAACAAGTTAAGGTGAGGTATGGCTACAACAGTGCATAGAAGGAGAAGGTCAAAAATGGCATATACACTCTTACTTTTTTAGGGAAAGTTTCAGTTCCGAGCTAATGCCTGTGCTAGAAAGGGATTTGTGCATTGCTATCGCCGACATCATCGAAATCAGATTGAATCTGCCTTTCTGGCCCTTCTGCTCAGCAACACCCCTAGTGCCTCACTTAACACGCGCTGGGGTGGGGAGTCAAAATGACCCCCAAATATTTTTTGGAATGTTTGCCGAACAATGCGGCGTACCTGCACCAAATTTTGCATAGCTGTAGACAACTGAATGGCGGATCGTTGGCAAAGAACCTCAAACTTTGACTTAGATGCGATCTCGTACAGGTCAATACACCCTGTGAATTTAATGTCTCTAGCTCTCTTAGTTCCTGAGATCTCAGGGGGTCAGATTGATCCCCGAGCGAAGGGTATCCAACCGGCCACCCGGGCGCGTGTTAACATTAAATGTAACCGTTGCCGCCTTCTCAGCGGTTGCACACTCAAATGTTCCCTTCCATTAAGGTGACTGCCCGTTTATGCCTAGTACTGGTTTGAAGTTACCCGCATCTGGATCGCAGTTAGAAACGTTCCGTGACAGTAAGGATGATAATCATCTCTTACTTTGGTAAAAGTCGCCTTTATTGGGTGCAAAACATGGTATGGGGATACGGACTGGTATTGGAATATTTTACCAGCCACAGCTGTTTTAACCCCGGGTTAAAACTAGGAGGCTATGGCTAGGAGGCTAGGCTATGGCTATATGGCTAGGAGGCATACTGGAAAACGTCTTGAGACTTCTTTTAATGCGGGACAACGGCTTAGAACTATCAGAAAACGATTCTTAAAAAAAAACACGTATTGCGACGCCTTTCGACACGTAAATGACCCGGGGCAATCCCATGGTGACGTTACCAGGGAAATACCAGATCTAGTTCCGACTAGGTTCCGACCCTCCCCCCCCCCCCCTCCCGTGGATAATCCACTTGGCACATTCTAACCAGGTGCTGTGTTTTGAGAAGGCGTGCACAAAAGTTGAATAGCAAGGGGATACGTAGCTCCCAATACGCGGATATGACGGTGGTTTGCTGCCATATTTGCAATCGCTTTTGGCGGAACACAGTGAACGGTGAACATGCTACTCAGAGCTTACTGTTTGATTCTTAGTACTCTTAAATATATTTCATGCTTATTTTGATGCCCTTTCAGTTGTACATATTCTGTCGAGACAATATAAAAATCAGCCATAGCATACAGCTGTATTTGGGCCAGGACCTGCAATATTTATCTGGCGCTGCCAACACCTCGGAAGTACTGTGGTTGGCGTCTTCCAGATAGGCAGAAAGCAAACTTAAATCGATTCTCAGCCCATTTCAACGAAAATCTGATTCTACGCTTGGCTTTTGACTGCCGCCGCACCACGCTAGACACTTGACCTAGAAGAGCCCAGACGAGCCCAGAGTCGGAGCCCCGCCACGCCACGTTCGACACTTGACCTGGAAGGAACCCAGACGAGCCCAGAGTCAGAGCCGATGCAAGCCTGATGCACTGCTGGCGCCGGTCGGACCCAGACGAGCCCAGAGCCAGAGCCGATGCAAGCCTGATGCACTGCTGGTGCCGGCCGGACCTCGACGCAGACCCGCCTGCAAAGCCACGGTCGGGCCGAGCCGCCACGCGTACCTCCACGTCTTCAGCATGAGGGCGCCGTAGGAGAGCGAGAAGCCGATCTCTCGCAGCCAGCAGCGAATGGTGCACGTCGCCACGTTGGGTTCCGGGTACGTGACGATCGTCTGCGGAGCATGCACCGCTCAGGTCAGCTCGGGTCAGCTCTTGGCAGTACGAGGAAAACACTACCTTTGAATAGTTTACGGAGACCTGGTAAAGCAGTAACTCGCAAAACGGCCCAGGAAGGAGTAATTAGTTAGTTGTGGAGACACTGCCACGGAACACCCGTTTTTACCTATGCGTCACCGAAAGATGAGAGACAGAGACAGACAGGTTTCATCTGCACCCATGTCTGTTTCTATAAGACATGAACCGTTCCCCCTGGAGCGTTTCATTGGCTTTAGCAACAACCAACCGGCGCGGTACAGGACCAGCACAAGCCTAGTGCAGTTTTCTTTTTCCTTTAAAGACGCCGATATTCATTATCCACTCCAAGAAACCGGCAAAAAGAACATCATAATTGTGCAATATTTGTCGCGTGACGCACTGAAGGCAAGAGTCAATACTTCCCCAGCAACAATGGAGGAGAAAATTCGATGCGGGTCACATAGCAACAGTGTGATACAAATAACAGTGTGATACAAATAACGCCACACCAATTCGACGGTGCTCAAAAGAATATGTCTCATTTGGTAAACTTGACACATACTTCATCCACAGAGAAAACGAAGTCAGGGTTCATAAGCCAATGATGCAACAGCAGAGAAGAGATACGCGTGACGCACGCCCGAGCTGCGGCGGCTGCCGCCCGCGGAGCAGCATGGACGCCAGGGAGGGAGGGGAGACAGGCAGGCGGCACGCTGGGCGGCGCAGCTGCGTCTGTTGCCCACTCCAGCAGAGGGCTGCGGCAGGAGCCAGGTCACGGCCAGTGCGGCGGCAGGAGCCAGGTCACGGCCAGTGCGGCGGCAGGAGCCAGGTCACGGCCAGTGCGGCGGCAGGAGTCAGGTCACGGCCAGTGCGGCGGCAGGAGCCAGATCACGGCCAGTGCGGCGGCAGGAGCCAGGTCACGGCCAGTGCGGCGGCAGGAGTCAGGTCACGGCCAGTGCGGCGGCAGGAGTCAGGTCACGGCCAGTGCGGCGGCAGGAGCCAGGTCACAGCCAGTGCGGCGGCAGGAGTCAGGTCACGGCCAGTGCGGCGGCAGGAGCCAGGTCACGGCCAGTGCGGCGGCAGGAGCTAGGTCACGACCAGTTTCGCGACTGCCATCGAGCCGCCAGCCAGGGCAGCCGCGCCGGTGCTCGGGCGGTGGGGGGGGGGGATGCTGCCCGCCGGAAATATTCCATGTCGCCACCCAACACGGCGTCCAGGGCGGGGAGTGGGCCGCCGCCGTCCGACAGCCGTCGCCCATCCCTGGATCTGGTTCAGATCTGGACCTTGATCTGGCTCAGGCGTTACAAGCCTGGCCGAAGGTGGGTACGTAGGCAAAACTCCTCGACGTCGAGTTGTGAGGCTGGTGACGGGCTTCTTACTGTCTGAAACACCCCGCATATTTCGACGAGCTCAGCCTGGATATAACTGCAGATTCTGCTAGACCCGCTTTAGGTGGCATACATTCAAAGATCACCTTACCACCTTTGTTCTGTTTGGCCTCATGTGTGCTGCGCCCGGCCTCGGAGACGTGTGTCAGTGCACTGCAGCATCGTGACCAAAAAGCAGATTTGGCCGCCGGTAGCCGGCGTTTCTCACGCGTGTGACGCACTCAGGCCGTTTTCAATGGTTTGGGTGGGTGGCTCTCCCGATTGCTGACCCGGCGTGGACATCGGGGACACGCCGACGCAGACGTGTCTGGTTTTATTGATGGAGGGATGTAGGTCTTATCCTGGCGGCAGTGCTGTGGTCGGGAAGAGGGTCCCGTCCTGAGAAGCGTCTCTTGCAAGAGTACCCGCTGAGATCTCTCGTCTTTCAAACGTTTCATCAGTCCGCTGTTTTGCACTTGAGGCCTTTTGCAGACGGGCTGTCGTTCGGATGATGGCAAAATCGTGAGCCTTTGCCTTGAGCGTTCTTGGGGAGCGTCATAACGTCCACGTGCTTGTGACCCCTGGAGACATTTTGACCCCAAGCGTGTCTTACTGCTAACCAGGAGTACGAGGGCAAGAGGTGCGGAGGAAGCCCCTTTGACTATGACTTGAGTGTTCCTGGTGTCAAGAAGACATCTAAGACATTACACAAAGTTAAGCTTTTCATGCCTTGGCGTGAAACAAAAAAGGCAGCCGTCAAGAATTTTTGAATACGCATTGTGGTCAGCAATGTAACTTAGGTGAAAATTGGAATATCGCTTCTATTATATGCGCGTCCGGGTGAACCGTTGCCTGTGACCCACTCTGGTGGGAGCGGGGCCAACTTGGTTCACTTCAGATATCAAAAAAGAAGAGAACTACAGTCACCAAGTTTACAAAATACGCAGAACTACATGTAAACCCGGTTGAGCGAAATCTGTACATCTCTTGGCCGCAAGTTTTGCGTAAGCCAGGGTCGAACAAGGTCAAACTCGGCATCAGTTCGGGAGTGTCCTCAGACACTCTCACGCGACGAACTTTGACCTAGATACCTTCACTAATCAAAAGATCAGTTAAGGGGATTTCAGTTAGTGCGTATCCGACCTCTGGAAGATTCAAATGATCAAAATTACCCGATGAACTATCACTTGGCGACCTTCTTCTAACCCAAAGTTGATCAAGGTCATTTAAGACCGATGCCTTACGCCGATATTTATAAAGCTAACACAACAATCGTTTAAGATCTGTGTGACAATTAGGTGCAAAGTGAGTGCGGCGAACTAATCCACAGAGCGAGTTTTTTTTCTCAAAAACGTTTCCGTCTTGACCTTGGTCTAACTTCTACAACTGCTCAAAGGGCAATGTCAAAGGTCAATCACGCATTTGCAGTCCCTGCTTTAACTGTCCAATGGTGTGGGAAACCACCAAACTGTTCTATGACCGCATTTAAAACTTTGTTATCGGACTAGATCTAAAGCTGCCCTAAGAACTACCTCTGCTGGCAGACATCGCGTAACGTTAAACCGCCTCATGACTGACCCGGTATCTTTTTTCTTTACATCACCAAATTGGCTATTCAATTGTCTACAACACTGCAAAGCTGGACAGTACTACGTCGCACCCTTCGGAACATATTTTGGCAAAACCTTAGGGTGGGCCGAACTGACCATCGCGCCCGAACGCGTGTACATAGCTATTACCAGCTGGTAATATTTCTTAAGTAATAATTCAGATCAGTCACCAGTCGGGTATATACGTAGGACAGCATCGACCGTTTGCTTGTAGATAAAGCCTTCATGCTGGCGGCGCTCTCGTGGCGCCGGCTTGCGTGTCTTTGATCCACACCGCGACCTTGGCCGCGGGACACGGCACGTCGTTAAGTGAGCAACGCGTTTCAAATGCCTGGACATCGGCCATTGCCACCAGGTGCTGCGTGATGCATCAGTGACAAAAACACGGCAGGAATAGCCGCGACGGACCAAACTGCAGTGCCACTGCTGTTACGTGCGGGGCTGAGCCAGCGGCAGGGGCGGTCGCATCACACGTCATTATATGTTTATATTGCTACGTTGCAGTGTTTTTACTATTATTTCTATTTGTGTAGTCCAGTGTTTGCGCTACACGCTGTGTTGTGAGTGCTATTTAAATCTGCTGGGAAAACCGTTTAAAACACGCACGAGTCAGCTACGGGCAGTCCAACTAAAAAGGTTTCGAAATACGGCTGCCCGTTCGTTATCCGCAGCGGACCTGACAATAAACACCCGCCGTAGGGCGGTGCCGGATTTAGGGGATTGACTGAATTGCGATACGTCCACTGCCGAAACGTGTCTGGCATATCGAACACAGCGTGAAAGAAGGGCATAAGCTCAACACGCGAAGAAGTGAGCGGGCAAGCTCTTTGAAAATTGAATGCCAGAGGAAGTTGAAAATAACGGATTTTCAGCAGGCCACGAGTTAGTGGATAAATACAGATGTCTGGCAATCATCGATATGTATTTTTCAAGCACTTAGTTCTTCCCGCTTTGCTCACGGCGACAACTGAGAAAAGTTACTTCTGCGGCGAAAGCTTAGCGTGCCACAGTGCTCTGCATGGCTCGCCCTACCTTCAGACCCACCCGACCAGTAAGCGGCCGCTGCACCCGGCTGCTGGCCATCCCAGTGATGGTAAAAAGAGGGGTACCGAAGACGCCAGGAACACACCCACCGATCCATGGACAGGTTTGGTTGGAGTCTTTCTGACCGATTAAGCTAAAGTGACGGAGAGTCAGAAGGTAGTATCCCACCTTTTTCGAACTTTTCACCTATTGTTACATCAGACGGATACAAATTGATCAGCAATACAATTTTTCTCAAAATCCTTCTGAATAACTCAGAATTTCTATTTAAAGTAGGTGACCCTGCGGGACAAATCTCATTTGATTCCTGGTCACCACTATGAACGTGTTTACATTTCATTTGCCTGGTCGTCTAACGTGTGTATTCTGTAATGTTTGCAGCACAATGACGCTTATCACAGTGGCTATTTTCGAGGCACGCTTTGGCTTTGGGAATGGAATTATTATGTCATCAGTGTGACGTGCTGATTAAAACTTTAACTAACAAAGTTCTCGGTAACAAGTCCTTGTCCGCTGGGCCAATCACACACGTTCTTGTATTCGTACCAGAGGCGCACACAGTCGTTGCGATGACGACGGTGGTCGCGATTGCAGGGATAAAGTGTAGTGCTGTCACAAAGCGCTGACAGCACACTTTGGACTCGAAAATAATAAACTTAACGTTATCACGTTAACGTCACGTCGGCGTTATGAAAATTAATATCCGTAACGTGTCTTGACGGTGCCGCAGTGGCTGCCCTACCCTGCACTCTAATCTGACGCAGCCTGTCCTGAGGAGTCGCTCGAGCATGTTTTTAATATGCTCCAAAGGTGAGACACTCTCCTTAACCAATAGAAGACGAAGGCTCTGTGGATAGGTATTGCATCTGTCGCATATCTGACCGGGTCAGATACATGAACAGGGTGTTTACTCAGCTGTCCTCAAATGACAGATGTTCTGAACATTGTCTGGCCAAT